TATAATTTAAATGATACATATGGTTGCTCAATGTAAGTAACTTACTTACAAACATAAGTATACAAACCTGATGAGAATGCCATGCTAGGTACCGAATTTGAAGTAATAATATTCTCATTGACATGTATACTTCCATGTTGTGAATACCGATGAGCATTGTCACCAACAAAGTAAGAAGACACAACAAAATACAGTCTCCCACGACGACACCTTGGGGAAGTAATATCGTCAATGCTACAATCTGGAGGTCGTCCTCTTACCCTAGGACGACCTCCACGGCGTCGTCTCGTGACTTGTTCGTCTTCAATAGTATCAGAAGGTAAAGCGGTAGAAACATCGGTTGTTAACGGAAAATCAATGTCACTTGAATGAACAGATGTATTACCAAGACTATCCATTACAATATATATGTTTCGATAACATATGATACATCATTAGATCCATATAGAAAGCGTTTTATACACTATTTAAAAGACAAATAACATATTGTTATGGTTTAACGTAAACTATTAGCAATTAAAATCTGTTCTTTGCATAATTGACTTTCTTTATTTTTTTTTCTTATAACATACATATGAAATTTGATTGTTAGTTTTACAAAATATTATCTATTTCAAATATAACCGAATAGCAATTTTTTTGGTTTCTCTATATCATTATATGACAAACATAAGTTAAAGAAATTTGAAAATAAAAGGTTTAAAAAAAATCTAATAAAAATAAACTAATATCTAATCAAAGTAAAATTCTACTTTACTATTATACTAAATCTAAAACTTGTGTGCTTCAGACATATCTGGTTTAAATGCAAGCTGCATAAATTTTGTTGATACCAAAACACACACTGCAAAAAAAATTAATATATATTACAGATAAAACACTGTCATTTAATATTTTGAAACACAATATATTGTATAATAATAAGGAAAATATAATTTATAACATACTTGACGGTAAGCGAACCAACTTGACCCGAGACGCAAAAATGTTATATTTTCTTGATATTGCACGATACGTTGGAACAATAAGCGAAGCACTTGTGTCATATAACTTCATTTGAATTCTATGTCCCCTACAAATAATTTATAGTATTTAATATAACATTTGATTTTTCTATCATTTTACTTACAAAATACTTATGAAAAAAATTAATAAAAATATTTATCTTACAATTCATCTTCCAAAAGTATTATAAACTCATCTTTGAATTTAATCCGTTTGCCCGAGACAATTTTTCCAACAAAATCTACATAAAATGAAAACATAACGAAATAGCATATTTATATATATATTTAATATATGTAATTGTTAATATGATCACATAATAGGTATGGTTTTATATTTACCGATCATAACTTTTCGAACAGCACTGTCATGCACGACTGTTTTAATAGGAAACACTAATGGATATAAAGGAAATCCATTGTCAAAATCCACCTCTATCGGAGTGAGTTGTGTCTTCTCATTGATAATAATCTTTAAATCACCATAAATGAAACAGTAATTTTCATATCTCGGGTATTCATGGAAGTGAAATTTTTCTACTTGAAAAGACGATAACGAAAAAAGACATCCCATCAAATGATCACCATATAAATGAAATAATTCTTCCGGGACAAAAGCTGCCATTTTTTCTCTCTAAAAATATAAATTTAGTAAAACTTTATGAAAAATATAATATCAATATGAAAGATATATACCGACATTTTTATCAATGAATATAACCAGTTTTCTTTTTCTCTCAATGTCGTGCCAGACAAAATGAACTCGAACAAATGCTATCTTATACGAAACTCCAGTATATTGGAATCGAAGAGATTGAAAAACTTCAACATTGACATACCCATCCATCCTCTATAAACATTGGTAAGTTAAATTAAATAAAGTTTATGAAACGATAATCTAATATGACAAATATAATAATACGATGCCATTACATAATAAGATGTTATTTATGTATACATTTATAATTACAATTGTAAAAATAATTTTATAATAAATTTAGATTTCCTTTATTAGGTTTAAAATGTATTAGATGATATGATTAACAGCTTTCTCGTTAATTTGGCAAACCCCAATGCAACTTGTTAAATTTCATATTAGTATGATACTAAATTAAAAAAAAAACTAAACCATAAAATCTATTAAACATGTTAATACTATTGACTAAGAAACAAAAGTTAAGATGATCTATTGTTTCAGAGAACTACATACCGAAAGAGAATTTGTTTGTGTTCACAGATATCATAAAGCAATAGATAACCTGTATAGCAAAACATCTTACATCAAATTAAATTAAAACATAAATACATCTACAATTTTACTCAAGAACAAACAAAATATTGCAAAATAATATAATTTTGTTTTCTGTATCACGTTTTATTTACCGACAAACCAACAAAAGCAACAAACATACTAAATAAAGTTGAAAACGCAATACAATATTTAAATGGTTAAACGATCCAACTTATCTAATTTCACAAAAATCATATAATTTTTGTGGTATATCACAGTTAACAACATATAAACAAACATTAAAAAAGAGAAAGTAATAGATCTTATGACGTTGAAACCTTGTATCACCTTTAGATGTGTTCCAAATTCAGAAAACCCGAGTAATTGAAGCACAATGAAGAAACGTATCGAGAGTCGGAGACACAAAAGGTTTCGATGTTATAAAATGGACACAGTTCATTAAATTCATTTAAATAGCACGAATGATTGTGCAAAGCAAAATCGGGTGTAATGAGTTATATAAGAAACGGTTATACCCACTAACACTCAACTTTATTAACATGGTTCCTACACTCCAATAACCTTCAAAGTGATAATTCCATTAGTGCATTCAACCGTTTTTTTAATTGATTTAACTAACCTTTAATTGAACAAATAATTGATAAAAAAACAACAAGAAAAAACCAACACATATCATTTGACTTTTACTCATTAAATCTCTTACATTTCAAAACGTTTCTACATGCTTAATCAAATTACTAAGTAAATTTTTGGTTAAATAACTTTTTTTATTATCTGTGTTTTTTCAACAAAAAATCAAAATTACATATAAGGTAAAACACTAAAAATGCAATTAGGGGTAAAACGATCCCAAAAAAAATTAGGCAGGAGGGGTAAAATGATACAGAATCTTTAAAACGAAAAAGGAATCCGTTATAATCGTACAAAAATATTACATGTATTTTGATTTCAAGGATTCTAACTGCATTCACCTCATGATGAAATATTGAAAATTATATATATAAAACGATTGTAGATCTCCAAGAAACGTTCAATAACAGTTAACTCACATCTGTATTGTAAATAAAGTTAAAAGATTTAACTATTTAAGCAATGTACTTTCAAATATAGTATCGTATTTTTAAAAAATTTAAGCTATTTTTTTATTCATATTTTATTTGCCATCACATAAGCATTTCAATACAAATCGGAGAGGAGGGGTAAAATGGTCCAAAATCATAAAATATGCAGGAGGGGTAAAATGGTCCAAAATCATTAAAACGAATTAGGAATATGTTACAATAACAAAAAAAACATATTTGTTTTATTGTAAATAAGATTTAAAATTTAAAGTATGATGCTATAACTTAAACTATAATGCTTAAATAAGAAATAAATAACATAATTATTTTTTTTATTATTTGTGTTTTTTACAACAAAAACTGAAAACAACGTGTAAGATAAAACACTGAAAATGCAAGAAGGGGTAAAACGGTCCAACATCAAAAATGATGGAGTAGGGGTAAAACAGTCCAAAATCATTAAAATAAAATAGGAAGCCGTTATAATCGTACAAAAATATTACATCTATTTTGATTTTAAGAATTCTAACTGCATTCACGTCATGATGAAATATTCAAAAGTAGATACATAAAACAATTGTACATCACCAACAAATGTATTGTAAATCAAGTTAAAAGATTTAACTATTTAAGCAACCTACTTTCAAATATAGCATTTAAAAAAAAATTATGTTATTTTTCTTATTCATATTTTATTTGACAACCCATAATAATTTCAATACAAATGGGGGAGGGGTAAAACGGTCCAAAATCAGAAAATATGCAGGAGGGATAAAATCGTCCAAAATCATTAAAACGAATAACGAATATGTTACAATAACAAAAAAAACATACATTTTTATTGTAAATAAGAATTAAAATGTAAAGTATGATGCTATAATTTACAGTATAATGCTTAATTAAGAAAAGATAACATAACTACTTTTTTTATTATTTGTGTTTTTTACAACAAAAACTCAAAACTACCTGTAACATAAAACTCTGATAATGCAAGCAGGGGTAAAACGGTTAATAATCATTAACAATGCAGGAGGGGTAAAATGGTCCAATTTTCATTAACATAAACTCAATTAGCAATTAAAATCTATTATTTGCATAATTGACTTTCTTTATTGTTTGCAAGCCAACACTATCCATGACAATTACAATACAATTGGGGGTAGAAAGGGTAAAATGGTCCAAAACCATAAATGATGCATGAGGGGTAAACAGTACTAAACGAAATAAAATATGCTGAAGATGTTTGATAATGATAGTGGGTTACTTTAATTGATAGCAATAAAAGTGAAATAACATTAAAAACAATTAACTACAACTGAAAAACTTAGTAACATTAATCCAAAAAAACAACTAACCACTAACTGCTGCAAATCCAAAAGAACAATAAAAAAAAGTTCACAAACTTAATCTAAATCACTCATCAACATCTGATTCATCAAAAAGTTTCATGACTCGATTTCTTGATTGAATGGAAACTTTCACTTTCTTTTTCACTGGTATGAATGGTAGATCTACACCCAATTCTTCATCTTCACATAGATCTACAACTTCTTCCCACTTCCAACATAACAAAGCCAACTTCCTTTTTTTCTTTTTTTTTTACAGCTTCTCCTCTTCTTTGACAATTAAAGAAACCTAAAATAGAAAAACAAACTTACATGCATATATATCTAAAAACAAAAATCATAAAATCTTTACCTCTTCCGAAATCACCCTCTCCAACTGGGATTTGTAGGGACTGAAGTGAACACTAAAGTCGATTATTTCAACACTATCAAAGTCAGAATGACATTTCGATTTTGATACATCTGAATGTGGATTGACTTTTCCATCAAAATCTCCAAATTTCTACAAAACAATTACAAAGAACACAATTGCTAATACATATTAAATCCAAATTTGAGAAATAAATGAAGATTTTGATACATCTGAATGTAGATTGACTTTTCAATCAAATTCTCCAAATTTCTACAAAACAATTACAAAGAACACAATTGCTAATACATATGAAATCCAAATTTAATAAATAAATGAAATTTAAGTTCAACGAAATTGAATATACAATGAATTACAAATAAAATCAATCTATTACAAACACAATAAGTTTACATTGTGTGAAGAAATAATAGACAAATTGCAAACAATAAAGTACAAACCATAGAAATCGATTGAAGAAGTAAATTTTTACCTTAGGTGAACAGATGTCAGACGAATTGGAATCATTAGGATCAAATGTCGATTGTGATACCTCTGATAGTGGATCGACTTTTCCACAAACATATTCAAAGTTCTACATAATAATTAAACATAACACAATTGTTATTACATAAGCAATCGACATATGAAACATTTGAACCTTCACTTAAAATATACATCCACCGTGAAAATACAATCAAGTAACAATCAAACGATACGATTACAGAGTAAAAAAAGCTTACCTTATGTGGGAAAACAACCAACGAATTGCAAAACATAAATGTATGGAATCAATTACTTTTACCAATTTAAACAAACAATTCCAATGAAATACAAACAACAGAAAACAATTTACCTCAGCTGAAGGTATGTCAGCCGAATTGGAATCATTAGGATCAACTGTCGGTTTTGATACATCTTTCACTGGATTCACTTTTCCAGCAACAACTTCAATGTTCTACATAAAAAGTATACGTAACAAAATTATTAGTACATATGAAATCGAAACTTAAAACATTAATGGACATTACTTTCGATTATATCGAACTTGATTATACAATTGACTAAATATCAAATGAATCGAGATAATAAGCTAACCTTACGTGAAGAAAGATTATACGAATTGGCAAAAACATGACATCAAACGAATCAATTAGTTTACCAATTGAAACAAACAAATGCAATGAGATACACACAATGGAAATCGATTAAACAAATGAATTTTAAACTTAATTGAAGGTATCTCGGACGAATCGGAAGCCATTGGAGCAACAGAAGCAACTATTTATTCCAAAAATTGTCAATCAACAACTCTCATTGAAGCAATTACCTTGAAATTCAACTCTTTATATAGGCAAGACGGTTAATGAAAGCCACCTGATTTCTAGCAACCATGGAATCGTGTGGTGCAGTTATCGATTAAAACCAATTTCCCGTTAACGGCAAAAGTCGGATGCTTGCTACACTTGAATGTAGTTTCCAAATCAACTGCTTCTTGAGGGAACAACAGCCAATTGTGTACAACGTGGGTAGAGACGGAATCGTGCGGAGAAGAACCAGGAAGATGAACTGCAAGAATCCACCAAAATCGAGTTTATGCGGACGAGATTGAAAGAACGTGGAGTTTTAAGGGCTGAGATTTTGAGGATGACGGTTAGACTCACCGTCGTCAATAGTATTAATAATGTCTAATACATATATATTTTTCAATCATATGCATTAACCCATTCCTTGTGTATACTGAAACTGTTCGTTTATTAGCGATACATATCAATCCAAAACTTGATTGATTTTTTGGATGTATTTCGAAGTATAGAACCCTATAAACAATAAAACCATAACTTTATTACCTATTAGATATATTACAACAGTGATTAGGTTAACACTTTTCATTTAACGATGACCTAATTTCTACAGTTGTCATATTCTCCCCATGTTAAGAGTATTTCTTCCCAAACTTTTAACTGGTACAGATTTCTACTGCAACATTAATAAAAAGTTGAGGGTACTTGATCTCTATCTGATCTTCCCTTTCCCATGTAAACTCAGGTCCTCGCCTCGATTTCCATCGCACCTTGACTATAGGAATATGACTTTGTTTAAATCTCTTGATTTCTCGATCCATGATTTCCACAGGTTCCTCCATGAAATCGAGTTAAGAATAGACATAGATTTCATCGAGAAGAACGGTAAGCGTGCAATTGTACAAACACTTCTTAATATTTGATACATGAAATATGTCATGTACATTCTTGAGTTTCTTAGGAAACTTGATTATGTACGCTACATGACTAATTCTAGTTAAGATTTCAAATGGTCCTATATATCACAGATTTAGCTTGTGCCCCGCTTTCCAAACCGCATCACTCATTTCGAAGGGGATACTTTTAACATTACACGATCTCTTACCTGAAATTCCAAAGGCTTGTGTCGACGATTAGCGTAACTTTTCTGAAGGTTACGTGCAACCTTTATCGTGTCCTGAATCTGGACAATTATTTATGTTTTCTCATGTATGATCTCAGGACCAGTAAGTAGTGACTGTCCCGCATAATTCTTTGCTAGATAGGTATCTCCTACTTGGGTCGAACATATTGGTGATTGACACTTGTGTCCATAAATCGCTTCAAATGGTACGACTTTGATGCTAGTGTGATAACTATTATTGTAAGAAAACTCAACTAAGGGTAGGTGAGTATCTTGTGCATTTCCAAAGTCTATCACACAAGCTTGGAGCATGTCTTCCAGAGTCTGTATAGTCCTTTGACTCTAACCATTAGTTTATGGATGATAATCTGTGCTCATACCCAAACGTGTTCCTAAGGACTTTTGAAATAATTTCCAGAATCGCGAGGTGAATCTATTGTTTCTATCAAATACAATAGATATGGGTATACCATGCAACTTAACAATCTCCTTAAGGTAAGTTATGGTCAACTTCCCCATTTTATCCGTCTCTTTGATCGGTAAGAAGTGAGCACACTTAGTCAATCGGTCGACAACTTATGTCTGGATTGCTCTCGAGCCAAGAACATAAGTTTGGATTTCCCTCCCGGCCTTGAGCTTATGTATGGATTGCTCCAAATTTTGTTGGCTTCCACACAAAGTAATATCGCCTCAACCTAACCGCACTTATGTCGACATATGCAACAAATAACAATAACCAACAAGTTCAGGTAATCATATAGATCTACAAATCTAACATAGTACTATAGTATAGCAACATCCTATATACCAGGATACATAACATAACCTAGTGGACCGACATTGGTGCCTTCGACTCACGAGTACAGTGAGGAAAACACACCTCAAAGCCCAAAAGATAGTTGAACTGATCAGTGTTCCAAATACCAGCTCTACAGGTCACCTATACAACAAATAGGGACAAAGCCTCAATCTATAGATTAAAATACCCCAAATAAGCTAAAGTCAAACTTGGTCAAAGTCAATGGACAATGGTCAAAAGTCAAAGTCAACATCCAGCCCGAGTATGCCCAGTATAGAGCCCAAGATGGAAATTACAAGTGGAAATGAGGTTACACATTGTGTATCCATAATTGCGCCATACGTAATATGCTGGTGTAACGTCCCCAAAATCCAGACCAAAAATTTCGTTTTAAAACATTAATAAAACCATAATTATCAACCCTTTCATTCATAAACAAACTGTTATATCAATTCAGAGTATCATCTCAAAAACATATTATTTTTTATCAGAGTAAACATCCCAGGCTAAAAACTTCTTGGTGTGTGCCATGCAGTCATCCCGAGCTCTCTCCTCCGCTACCGGATGTACCTGAAACCAAAACTGAAAACTGTAAGCACGAAGCTTAGTGAGTTCTCCATACTACCCCATACCATACATATAACCATATACTGGGCCCCCGCCCACTGCATCGGGACTTGCCCGACATCGGACTCGCTATGCCATCGGGCCCCACCCGGCATCAGGCCCCGCCTGGCATCGAGCCCCGCTCGGTATACAGATTTGTCTCTTATATGCCCCACCTGTCTCTGCGCCTTGCCCGCTATACACATACAAACATATAACATACTAGTACATAAAGAAACATACTGCACTATACTCCTATTCTAAGGCCTCGCCTACCTTGGGCCTCGCCCCTACTCTGCTACTGATGAGTCATGGAACCCTGTCCATACTCGGCTAGTGGTGAGATACGGGACCTCACCCACACTCACCTCCCTACCAGGCACATACATGTATCACAAAGACAACAAGTATACTCTACTATGCAACATATATCATTCTTCGGGCTTACCCCGACATCGGACCCTTGTCCGAAAACATACTACTGGCACATGCAAGAATCATAAAGACCTCTAGCATACTAACACACTTCGGGCCTCCCCCGGCATCGGATCGTAATCCGGAACACATATCATAAAAATGCCTAGGGCAAACCCTCGGGTCTTCCAACTATACACAAACATAATAGGGCGGCATTGTGGCCGTAGACCCATGCACACAGTGAGGAGACTCACCTTGCACTGCTGAAGACCTGCTGATACCACTCTGGCTGCTATCTGAAAGTCCCCGAACTGCTGATCCGCCGGCTCCCCAAGCTACCAATACCAAAATATCACATAGACTGGATCAATAATCCTTCTTAGGGTAAAATGACCATTCTACCCCCTAGTCCAACTTGGTCCATCCCCAAGGCCCAAGACATAACATAAAAAGGCCCAACACTAGGTAGGCTTCCCAAGCCCACTAGTGGCCTAATTTGCCAAATTGGGCCCAATCCCTCTAATGGGCCTTACCCTAAGCCAAAACATCTTCTTGGCCCACATTATCTGACTTCTGATGGCCCACTAAGGCCCACAGAACCAAAATCCCCTTGTATGGCCCAAACCGAGGCCCAGACCCATATCTGATGAGTACGTTGGGCGTACTCCTATGTACGCTAAGCGTACTAGCCAAATGGTGTGTGCGTTGGGCGTACCTGCATGTACGCTCACCGTACTCCCCCTGTTAAGTCACTTTCCCGTTAAGTGCTTAATACTCTACTCCAGAAGCTACAAACACAGATCCAAGTCCTTTTCAACGTCTTAATCCATAAAGTCACTAACTTGGTGACTTTGCATGCCCCAAAGAAGTCCAAACTCCAAAAATGGTGTTCTACTTCCATGAAAGTGGTCTCAACTCTTGCATGAACTCATTAAAACCACCAAGGTGACAACTTTCTGACCTAGGGAGTCATTTAGCACTAAGGGTGGCAGCCCTTAGCCTAGAAATCGGATTTGGACTACAAAGCTTCATCCTTTGGACAAAAATAACTTCAAAACCAAACTACACTAGATCTAAGCATTCTTATGTAAAGTTATGAACTTTATACCTCCAAAGAGTCTCAAATGATGATGCTATCCCAGATCTACAAGCTCAAACTTCCAAAGTCCTTCCTTGCTAACTTCTTCTTTCCTCTTCCAAGCTTAAAACCACCAAAATGGGTTTTTCAAGATCAAAATTATACAACAATGAAGGGATGAGGCATTCTAGGGTTTCTCTGAGGTTGGGGAGGCTGATAAGGGGCTAGGGCTTGAGCCATAATGTTCCTTATATAGTGGCATGCCCTAAAAATTACGGTTTTGGGTCTTTGAGAGTACGTTGGGCGTACTTCTCGTACGTTGGGCGTACTCCTCCCACACCCGCGATCATTTGCGCCACTACGTTGGGCGTACCCAACTAGACACATGCATGTTTCCCTTGCATGCATGGGACTTTCTTGCCAAACATTTCCATTAGGGACCATAAATACCAATAACTTCAAAGTGCTATAACTCCTTCGTTCTAAGTCCGTTTCTGACGAACTTGATATCCATGAAAATTTGGCGAGTAGCCCTACGCTCCAAGCCACACCCCAAGCCTAAAACCTTCCGTATAAACCCGAGACCCCATAAAAGACCGAATTGCTTATACCCTAGGCCTCCGAAACCACAACTGAAGTATTTATCAAAACGGGGTGTTACAACTCTCCCCCAGTTAAACTAGACTTCGTCCTCGAATTCTCTCCTTACTAACACCCATCTCCCAACAACTGATCTGAGGAACGCAACCGATGATTCTACGCGTGAAACAATATCCCCAAGACGACTGAAAGCCAACACGGTCTTCCATTCGGAAGAAAACGAACTTTAAACTTCAGCAAACCACATCTGCCTTCCTAAAGTTTGAATCCCAAACTGGTTTGTCTCCCTGACCGACTACTCCTGCACAACCATCCACCGGTCAATTATTCTTGACAG